CCCACAAGCAGAGCTTTTGTCAAGAGGTTGGGGACAGAGTACTGACTATTCATTGTCTATGCATAAAGGCATCTGCTTGTACAACCAAAATACAGACTTTCAAAAAAAAATTAGCACCAATGCATTATTACAATTTCACCCCTAGACACCATTCTAGCTTCATCACTTGCTTCAATGTCTTATATAATAAAATGTTCAAGCTGAAAATCACATTTTGTATTAAGATATTCTATTCAGTTCTCTTAAGAAGAGAGGTATCATACCTCTTCTTGGCTTCCATAACACTAACATTTTTAAATATTTGTGCAAGGTTATTTTGTAGAATGTCCCTCTCATTAGGAGTTTGTAAGATGTTCCTTATGTATGAGTTAAGGGTGCACATCTTTGTCTAGAACATGACAAAAGCAACTCTTTATTCCCCTTATTATATCCTGTTGGATGGAGCTTGGGTTTGGTTTGTCTTGTTCCTGATAATGTTCATTTTTATTACTTGAGGAACGTTGTGTTTGACTTTGCCATGGCTGTATAACCCATAGCTGATACCTTAGCGGTACAAAACAGTGAGTACCAATGTTCTCACAGGGGCATGGATGTCAGAAGTGCCTCTACTGGGCACCGATGGCTCCCAGTTTCTGAAGAGATTTCAACCAAGATATTGGTTACAGTTCGCTTCCTATGTAAAGGATGAATTAAGGGAGGCAGAAGTCCACTTCCATGTATGACTATTGGGAAGCCTCAGTTCCTTGCTCCACACACCTCACAGGCTTATATTGTAACATCATAACATGGTGGCTGGTTTCCCCAAGGGTGAGCTCTAGAAGGAAAAGCTACAGAGGAGAGATAGAACAGATCAAAGCTACAGTCTATTTATAGAGTAATTTAAAAAGAGGTATCTCATCCCTTCCACCATATTCTAACTGTTAAAAGTAAGTCCATCCCGTATCCAGGGACTAGGATTACACACGAGCACAATCACAGGGAAACAGATCACTGAGGCCTTCTCACAACCTGATCACCACAGTCTACTCTCTGGTTTCCAATGATTCATGTTGCTCTCCTGTGCAATATAATCTTAGCCCTTTCCAAAATTCCCTAAATCTCATCCCATCAGCTCAAAGTCC